AGAGTGGTTCACTCAGCTCTTCATGACTGGGCAGGGCCTAAGGCAGCCAGAATCCCTGGCTGGCTGCTTTGGACTCCAAATTTTTAGCTCATTTTGGATTCTAAATACTCTCCAGATTACCCCAATATACTACAGAAATGTAGAATAATTTATTATGAGTATCATTATATGAAAAAGAATGGTAAGCTCCAAACTAGATTATTTTAATGTCTCAGACACCAGCTAAAGCATACTTGGCAGCTTTATAGAAAGTAACTAAGCCAAACCAAACTCACTGCCATTGAGTGAATTCCGACTCATAGTGACCCTTATTGGGTTTCCAAGGCTGTAAATCTTTATGGAAGCAGACTGTCCCATCTTTCTTCTACAGATTGGCTACTGGGTTCAAACCACTGACCTCTGGTTAGCAGCCAAATGCCTTAACCACCACACCACCAGCGCTTCTTATAGAAAGTAAAGAGCCCCACGAAACCATATTTACCAGTCCCATTTAACATCTTTGAAGATGATTTTTAATCACAGATGTAGGGTTTGTTCATTTTGTTGGTTTTTTACCCCAGCAATCTACAAGGCTGGTCTGTGAATTCACAGATAAGCATTTTTGTGTGTGTGTTTAGAGAACTTTGGTTTTATGTGGCTTAGGCCAGTCAGTAAGGGGCCCTGGTGGTGCTTTGGTTAAGGCACTGGCTGCTAACCGAAAGGTAGGTGGTTGGAGCCCTCCAGCTGCTCCATGGGAGGAAGATGAGGCAGTCTATTTCCATAAAGTTTACAGTGTTGGAAACCTGATGGGGTTAACTTTGAGTCAGAATCAGCTTGTCAGTGGATTTGGTTTTGGGTTTTTTAGGGTGGTTTCATACCCAACACTCAGTGTTCCTCAGTGCCAAACTTGAGATTTACTGTTTAGACCCTTCAGTGTCTATTGACTGGTTTGGCCAGATTGCCCTTTGTAATGAATTCCACATGTATTGAAAGAGTTAACCTTAATGAAGTGGCTTGGGGAGGACAAATTGATGAACCCTAGAGCCAGAATATGTTTGAACTCCATGAATTTAGATTTTGATCTATCTGCTCTGCATGATGAAAACAAATAATATTAATACTTGCCCACTGAGCAGAGGTCTTGCTATTCCCTGCTCTGAAACCTATGCTAGGCCTGCAATTCCTCTTTGTGCTCTATCCGTTAAAGTTCCTGCTTATTGAGCCAGAGAGAGTTTATTTGATTAACACTGAAAAGTTTCCAATGACACTATCTTAATGGTGTTAATTCTACTTAGATCAGCTCTTACTGTCCCCCTGATGTACACAGAGATTAAGATAGCTTTTGCCCTTTTCCTGACATTTGATGTTTGTTGAAGTGATAATCACACCAGTGGCTGAGGGCCGGATGTCCCTAGGAAAGAGGGAGCTCATATTTCATATCTGGTCTTAGTTCAGACAGAACTGGCCTCTGTCCACAAACCAGTTTAGTTCAGCTATTTGCTGAGAAGATAACGAATGTTAGAAAAACATTGAGTTTTTATAAGAAATACTTGCAGCTATCACTATTATTATTATTATTGTTTAACTCCTATTGGAGATGCATCTGTCACATCCATAGACACACAGGACTGTGAGAATTCCTTGGGCACTGGTTTCTGGTGCTGGTCTGTGACTTGGTGCTAGATGGCTACATAAGAGACATCTATGGGTCATGTTGAATATATAAATATGGTGGCCTAGAACAGAGCCTGGTAATCTGTGTTTTCTGATGTGCACTAGTTTGGGAAGGAGTAGATTACAATAGATTTCCTTTTTTTTTTTTTTTTCTTAAAAGTCCAATTTTCTAGCTACTTCACATAATATTTTTAACTCCAGTGGTCTTTCAGACATGCTGATATAACACAATCTTCTATGTCCCACCTTCATCCACTCATTTTACAAGTATTTCAATGCTGCCTAGAATGGGCTCCAGAGCTAAAATAAAAAGATCACAACACATGCAGTTCCAAGACTAAAGTCCCTTATGGCCTAGTCAGGAGATAATTAGGCAACAAAGCAACTACTGTACAACAATATAATTCTTGGAACTAAATTGCAGTGGGAGCAGGTGAACCTTGCTGGGAAAGTCAGGTAATGTGTCCTAGGGGAGAAACCCTTTCAGCTGAGGCCTAAAGGAGAGGCTGATTTTTGGATGCCTGGTTGCCACATGAGAAAGCAGAGAGTACACCTTTGCAAAGAGTTTGTGGCCAGAGAGGCTGATATGTCACAGGAACTATGTGTTTCTTAGTTTTACCCATGGTCATCAAGTTGATTCTGATTTATAGTGTCTCTATAGGACAGAGTAGAACTGCCGTATAGGGTTTTCAAGTCTGTAAATCATCATGGAAATACACCACCACATCTTTTTCTTGTGTAGCGTGGCTGGTGGGTTCGAACTACTGACGTTTTGGTTTGCACCTAAGCATTTTAACCACTGCACCATCAGGGCTCCTTTGTTAGTTTTACTACTGTATAAAATACGAGGCAGCACACAATAGAAATGAGACCAGGCATGCCAACAGAGACCAGGTCGTGAAGCGTTTGTCTATTACACATAGTGGGAGTTTGTATTTTACCTTATTAGCACATATGTAGTCCCCCTCACCCCCAAATGCCTCCTTGGTTTATATCTTTTTAAAAATCTTCTCCCTTGATAATATGATATGATGAAATCCCTTGTTCTCAATGCATTACCTTGGAAGCAGGATAAACTACGTGGTAATTTTCTATATCCCACCTGGGGCCCTTAGCTTCAATATTTATTTTCTGGACCTTTTCACTCTCTCATTTCTGAAGCCAGAAGTCATCCTGTTTGGGGGGCTTTCCCATAAGATGCTTACTCTATGTGAAAGTTAGTGTTTTTCAATAGGAGGCAAAGAATAATTTTCAAACGAATGATGATCATGGTTAGCCCTGAATATGAAGTCTTCTTGCCCTCAGCTACTGTCTAACTCAATGACCATGAATCCCCCATAGTCACGTAGATGTGGAAAATACTTCCCCTGGACAGTGCATGCCTTTTTTACACAGCTTTCCAGTTCTCCAGTTGCAAGTCTTCCATGCTTCCCAGTGTATTCATTCAATCCAGCTCCTTTCCAGAACCTACCAACTTACCGTGATTAGCCTACTTACCTCTCAAGCTTCATCAAGTGTACCTTCATGCCTAAGCTCCCTTCACACTGATTTTTTTCCCCATGTTTTCAACAAAACAAAAACTGCTACTTCCCGGTTTCTGCATTTGTTATTCCTTCTGCCTGCAAGTTCCCATCCCCCTCACCTGATTACATTGTTGTTCCTTAAATAGGCCTTTTCCAGCCTCTATATAAATAAGCCTATCCCTTCCCCCCATTCTGTAACATTTAATACAATTTCATATTGTTTTATTTGTTTACTTCACTTGATTTCATTTTTTTCTAGGCTTCCCTTTTAAGCTGCATGAAAGGAATGACTTTGTGTGACTCATTCACCACTGTATCTTCCACATACCTATATAATAACCTACTGCTGTCAACTCCATCCTGACTAATAGTGACCATATGGAACAGAATAAAACCACCCCATAGGGTTTTCAAGGCTATAGTCTTTGCAGAAGCAGATTGGCACATCTTTCTCCTGGGGAGCTGCTTAATGGGTTAGAACTGCTGACCTTTTAATTAGTAGCCAAATACTTAACCACTGAGCCACCAGAACTCTTCCAACTATTTAATAGTAACTGTTTTTGAATTATCTTCATCCACATTTTACTTGTGTATGATATTGTTTGGAAAAAAATTTTTTAAATATATATATATGTATCTATGTATAGATAGATATAGATAGATAATCTCAAACCAGTTGCTGTGATGCTGGAAGCTATGCCACCGTTATTACAAATGCCAGCGGGGTAAACTATGGTGGACAGACTTCAGCAGTTTCCAGACTGAAACAGGCTGGGAAGAAGGATGTGGTGATGTACTTCTGAAAAAATTGGCTTTAAAATATATTAAATAGATGTATTTAAATAGCTTTAGAATATATTTGTATTTTTTTGTTGTTGGATCCATTACCAAATTTTGTCTAAGTTATAATTTTTAAGAAAATTTTATTTCTCATGTACTAAAAGTAATAAAATGCATTTTATAAAATGGGAGAAATACTGAGTATAACAAAACAAACATAAATCTTGCATAATTTCTTCATCCTGAGTTAACTACTATGGATATTTTGTCTTATTTCCATCTTGTAGTTTTCTTACATGTTCTACAACTTAGTGTGCAAATATGAATGCATGTATAAGTATTCTTATTTTTAGCATAACATGATTTAAGCATGTTCTCATGTCATTATAAATACGTTTTAAAGCCTGTTTCATTGTATACATGATCTTAAGTTCTATTTTTGAGAATCATTGTTGAGTGCCAACACAATACCAAATAGTGTTCTAGGCACTGACATATAAGTTGCCCTACTTCAAATATGCAGTCATTACTGAATCAGGACCCACCAGCCACTCCTCGGAAGGAAGGTTGGGCAATCCTACTTCCGTAGTGATACTGCCTCGGAAACCCAAGAAGGGGTCGCTATGAGTTGGGTTTGACTCGACAGTACATAACAACAACAACAACAACTGAATCAGGAACTGATAGGTGGCTTGGAAGGAAGGTTGGGCAATCTACTTCCATAGCAATATCGCCTTGGAAACCCAAGGAGGTGTTGCTATGAGTCAGGGTGACTCCATGACACATAGCAACAACCACAACAACATGATAGGTGGCAGAAGCAATAGAGAAAACTCCAGAATAATTTGAATGAGGGACAAACAAGAAAAACTAAATCTCCAACGAGTATAACTAGTTTGAATATTCAGTACATTAAGCAACAGATGTGTTTAATAAGTGTGTTTCTAGCAGACCTCTACCAACATTGACTTGGCAAAACTTTGGAGGACCAATTTCCCTGAAATTCTGCCTGTGAGAATAACTTGTGTTTTCCTTATTTTCTAGAGTGACCGTCTTCTTATCAAGGGAGGCAGAATCGTCAACGATGATCAATCTTTTTATGCTGATATTTATATGGAAGATGGCTTAATAAAGTATGTATACAGAGCCCTTCTCTTTATCTCTTTTACTTCTTCTTTTCATTAGAGGCTCAAAAAGAAGCCTGCTTCTTTTGACCCACTAGAATGGCTGTTCTCTGTGTATCATTTCTCTTTCTTAAAAAATGAGGTTTTATTTTAGCCCTTACATCTAGATGCACATAATCCCTTAAAAGTGAGAGGCAACCTTAATTCTCAGTATTTTGATTATATAAGTGAAGCAAAAAAAAAAAAACAAAACCTGCGTTTAATCAACAGAATGATGTTGTAGGCCCCTTTGTGCAAGCTGCATTGATGGACATTCCACAGGAACATATGGCCACTGTCATCAAGGATACTGAAAAAGGGGCACAAATTAGAAAACCAGTTACCATTGAGTCAATCTTTAAGTGAGGTCCCTGTGTGGCACAGATGGTTTGCACTTACTGGAAGATTGGCAGTTCAACCCACCCAGCAACACCACAGAAGACTCATGGCAACTACATGTGTGTAAGAGTAGAACTGGGTTCCATAGGATTTTCAGTAGCTGATTTTTGCCAGATCTTTCTTCCAAGGCGTCTCTGCATGGACTTGAACTTCCAAGCTTTGGATTAGCAGGTTTGTGCCTTAAAAGTTTGTGCCACCCAGGGACTCAGCCAGCAACCTAAAATGATAAGATCCCTGTAATAGGTACAAAAAGAATTGGAATGAGAATAAGTGATTTAAAAGTACATAGAAAGGAGAAATCCTTTCATAGGTCAGGTTTTGGGGAGGAGAGGCATTTGGACTGAACTTTGAGAAAGATTTAGATAGGCAGAGCACAGACATAGTATGCATTTTAAGCATGATTTTCAGTAGACATTAAGGACATATAATTGCTTTGGGAAATGGTTTGTTATTGGATGGTTATAAATAGCACAATCAGGTTAGCTATGTGTAGGTTCCTCATTTAGGGAACTTTAAAAAGAGAATTTGATTTGCATATAGCCTTTCATCATATAAAAGAATGTACACTACCACACTGATATGTTGTATGAGACTGATATATCCAACACATCCTATTAGCCATCTCTAGCATTTTCAGTTATATTTTTATATTACTTAGCTTCATTGACTAGTAGAAGGATTCTGGTCATAGGAGATCTCTTACTCTGAAAGCTTGTCTTATATATAACTTTCTGTAGCCAGCTTATCCTTGCTAGGCCTCAGGTCTAGGTTGACTTCATGTTCTATATGCTGTCAGGACACTCTTTGTTTATATTACTCAAAGAAATTCTAAGACTGTTAGCCCCTCTTGAGAACAAGACCATAGTTTTTTTTTTTTGTTGTTGTTGTTCCTTTTAATCATCTCATCCCCAGTGCTTAACCTAGTGTTCATCTAAAGGCATTCATAACAGTGTCCTTCAATAGGTGTTGCAAATCATTTCTGATCAGCTGGTAACTGAAAGATTGTTGGTTCAAACCCACCCAGTGTCAACACAGAAGAAATGGTGTGGTAATTTTTTTTCTGTAAAGGGTACAGCCAACAAAACCCTTTGGAGCAATTCTACTCTGTAATACATGGGGTTGCCATGAGTCAGAATCGACTCAACAACACAGGACGACAACAACACTTTTAAAAGAGTATGTAGTATGTGCCAGACATTGTGTTAAATGCTTTACTAGCCATATCTCATTTAATTTCACATCAGTCTTATGAAGTTTTTTTTTTTTTGGTTTTTCTCAGATTGGAAAGAGACACAAAGAGAGGAAGTAATCTGCTAAATTATGTTATGAATGTTATGAATGAATGGCTGGATGGACAAAACAAGAATGAAAATAATAGTCTCAGTTGCCTTGCCAATTTATATCATTACTCTTTCCTATTCAAAACCAAACCAAACTCACCACCCTCGAGTTAGTCCCAACTCATAGTGAGCCCCCTCTTGGGTTTCCTGGGCAGTATCTCTATGGAAGTAAATTGCCCAGTCTTCCTTCCAACGAGTGGCTGGTGGGTTTGAACCACCGGCCTTCTGGTTAGCAGTCAAATGCCTTAGGCGCTATGCTAGCAAAGCGCCCTCTTTCCTTTTAGAAGTAAGATAAATGGAAGTACCAATCAAGCTAACCAATAGAAAAAAATAATAACTTCTTTAAGATATAAACCAAAATTTATTTTATATTTTTTCTATTACTACAAAATGTTACATATAGTTGACTATCTTTGGAGATAGTAAGCTCTCTCATTTAGAGATTTATGTGGTTGTTGTTGTTGTTGTTATGTGCCGTCCAGTCAGCCCTGACTCATAGCGACCGCTTCTTGGGTTTCCGAGGCAGTATCACTATGGAAGTAGATTGCCCAACCTTCCTTCTGAGGAGTGGCTGGTGGGTTGAACCGCCAGCCTTCTGGTTAGCAGTCAAGTGCCTTAGGCACTATGCTACCAGAGCTCCTTAGAGATTTATAGATATGAAAAAAAAAAAAAAAAAAAATTGGTACTTTATGCTCCTTTCCCCTTTTGGAGATCATGGCAGGCATCACTAATTGATTACAGAACTTTTTGCTGTGCTGCCTTGAACACAGGATCGGAGTGCATCTTCATTTTGTGTTTCTGGCATCCACTGTTAGATTGAATCCTTCTCACCACCTCTGTTAGAATAGCCTGGAAGGCCGCTTGCCTAGGATGGTTTAGAAGGAACTTATTCTTCAGGTGTGTGTATTGGTGAAAGAAAAGTTTTGATAAACATGATTTTCATCCAGTCCTGAAATTTGGTATAAATCCAACAACATTCTTAACTCCTAGGGCAGAAAACCACAAATAATTTCTTTCAACTGTTATACAGTTGTTTGTCTGGGAATATTGTGGAATGCCTTCTGTGTTCAGGGAGGGTGTCCAAGACACTGTGTCACATACTATGTAGATATCAGTGGGACACAAATCATCATGCTCCCTGCACTCAAGGATTTTACAGTGTTTTGTGTTAGCTGAGATATTTGTAAAAGGAGCTCTGGTGGTACAATGGTTAAGACATTTGGATGCTAACCAGAAGATCATCAGTTCAAACCCACCAACTGCTCCATGGGAGAAAGATGAGGTAGTCTGCTTCCATAAAGAATTACAGCCTTGGAAACCCTATTAGGCAGTTCTATTCTGTCCTATAGGGCTGTTATGAGTCAGAATTAACTCGATGGCAGTGAGTTTGTTTTTTGGTGGGTTGTAGATATCTCTAAGTACACAAAGGAGCTAACAATATAAAATACTAAATTAGAAGAGTAGATGGTAAGTGCAAAGAGATTCAAAGGGGGGACAAAGCTATGTAGGAAGAGGGTGCCCATTAATTATAATAGCTTATGCTTATTGAATTTCTTTATACTTGACAGTTTTCTTTGCGTTCAACAAGTATTAACACATTTAATCTATACAACATCCCTAGGAGCTGTTCTTATTGCATTTTGCAGATGAAATAATTGAAGCATGGGAAGATTAAGTAACTTGGCCAAAGACACACAACTAGTAAATGGGAGAGCCTAGTTTGTGAATCTAGATAGGCTGCAGCCAGAGTTTACCCATACTCTTAATAATTAGAGTAGAAACTTGACAGAGAAGGTGAGATTAGAGCTGAGCTTTCAAAAATGCATGTAACCCTGATTAAAATGGTAGAGAAAAAAGGGAAAGGCCTTTCTATTTCAGATTTGGTATATTATACTGCTTATTAAAATAGGTAATATCATTTGGGAAAATACAGAGACCAGGGATTTCTTCATGTCCTTAGTTCTAGCTTTTCTTCAGAGGAAAATCAGTTGTAGGGAGAAATGGGAATGGAACTGGCAAGTATCTGGACATCTAGGATGAGGTTAAGATTGGAGGCTGTGTACTTTTTCACGGTGTTTTCTAAACTATGGTGTCTCTGGAATGGCCTGGTGATGTAGTAAAGTTGAGCTTGGAGATGTCAGGGATGCTTTATTTTAGTTGCAGAACTAACAGCTTGGCAGGCCAATGGTGGACTTCTCATTGCCCACTTCTGAGCGTCTTTCCTGGCTGGCTTTGAGCAAAAGGGGAAAATATTCATGCTTTCATGCTACTGGCAGTAGAGTACATGTATTCACAACATACTATTGTTGGCAGCTATTGAATTGGTGCCCAATTCATGGCTATCCCATGCACAAGGGAACAGAATGTTGGCCTGGCTCTATACCATCCCCATGATTGTTTGTGAATTGTTATCCATAGGGTTTTCATTGGCTGATTGTTGAAAGTAGATTACCAGACCTTTCTAGTCAGGAAGTGCTGCTGAAACATCATACAAACCTCCACTGAAAGGTAGGTGATGGCTGCAGATGAAATGTATTGGCCAAGAATTGAACCCTGGTCTACCAGATGAAAGGCAAGACTCTACCACTGAACCACCAATGCATCATCCACAATGTAGCAGATATTTAATGATTAAAAAACAAAAACAAAAACAAAAAAAAAAACCTCTGCCCAGTGGTTTAGGAATCATAGATCCACCTGGAATCAATATTGGATAGATTTAACTAGCTGTATAATTAAGGATATGAAATCATATGTAAGCCAAGGAACTTTGAATTGTCTACAAGGTAACACTGTGTAGGGAACAATTGTTTGTCACTTTCCTTGTGTGGTTTGCCCTTGGTGTACTCACTGGCTTACTCTGCGCCTGAGTCTCTTTTTTACTGTGATGCTTGGAAGCTTCCCAAGCAAAACTGTGTCTGGTGGAGGTTGTCAAAATCACCTTGGTCTGAAGTTTCTCTTGAGATACTGGCTGCTCAAAAGCAGATGGTGCTGGAAACAGCTGCTTCTCTGACTTCTTCCTTGAAAATCTTCCTCCAGCTATGACTGACTGACAAATTAGCAGAGAAGGGTGGAATAGGAAGTGAAGACTGAGGTGGAAAATAAATCAGTCAGATTCCTTCTCATTAGATAAGACAACCATGTTTCCATATTTGTTCTTTAACTAAATTCATCATCTCCTTCAATCTCTCTTGACATTTCATTATTTTATACTCTAGATCCTTCTCCAAATGATGTCCATTGATGTGGCATTGATGTCCACACTTTACCCTTAAGCAAAAAACAAAAGTAAAAGAAATAATGCAAACAATTATATTTGTTCAACAAAGTATTTATTATGCCCACTATATTCTGGACTCTTCAAACTGAGTTATAATATTAAGTCAGATAAACACATGGATCCCCACACACTGCCTCAGTTTTGTATCTATAAAAGTTGTTTTCTGTTTATATACCAGTTGCCATCAAGTCAAGTCAACTCCAGCTCATGCTAACCCCAAATACACTTTGTCAGAGTAGAACTGTGCTCCATTGTTTGTTGTTGTTGTTGTTGTTATTTGGGTGAAAATTTACAGAGCAAATTCACTTTCCATACACCAGTTCACATAAACTTTGTCTCATGACATTGACCACAATTCACCACAATGCAACAGCGCCTCACCCACTTCCTCTTGACTGTCACCTCTTCCCTGTGTCCATTCCTTCATGCACTCCTGCCCCCTGAGCTGTCTCCCTGTGCATAAACAGCCCTTCTTTCTCCCATGATTGTTCTCTCCAAGGAGTGTGTCTACCTCAGGTAAATGTTCAACTCATATGCCTGTCTTTTGTTTGGCTGGAAGCCACAGTTGTGGGTTCAGTTCCAGACCTGAAGGGCAGCTAGGGGCCATAGTCTCAGTGGTTCCACCAGGCTCTATCAGACCAGCAAACCTAGTCACCCCCCCCCTTTTTTTTCCCAAATGATTTTGAGTTTTGTTCCACATTGTTCTCCCTCTCTATCCAGGATCTCCTACATAGATACCCCTCCGAGTGGTTGACATTAGTAGCCAGGCACTATCTAGTTCTTCTGGTCTCACAGTCATATAGGCTGTGGATTGTATGGTGTACCAGTTGCTAGGACTAATTCTTTCCATGAATCTTTGGTTTTCTTCATTCTTCTTTGCTCTGGATGAGGAGAGACCCCTTGTTGCATCTAGATGGCTTCTTGCAAGCTTTTAAGATCCCAGTTTCTACTCACCAAAGTAGGAGGTGGAACAATGTTTTGTGTAGTATGTTTTGCCAGTTGAGCTTGACATCCCCTGCGACTATGATCCTGAGCTACATTGGGTTTTTAATGGTTAATTTTTCTGAAGTAGTTTGTCAGGCCCTTCTGCTGAGCTACCCCTGGATAGACTTGAATCTCTGCAGCCTTTTGATTAACAGCCTAGCATGCTAAACATTTGCACCACCCAAGGGCTCCTTTGTATATATAGACCAAAAACCCACTGCCATCAAGTTGATTCTGACCCTTAGCGACCCTTTAGGACAGAGTAGAACTGCCCCTTTGGGTTTCTGAAGCTATAAATCTTTATGGAAGCAGACTGCCTCATCTTTCTCTTGCAGGACACCTGGTGGTTTTGAACCACTGACCTTTTGACTAGCAGCTGAATGCTTTAATTACTATCCCACCAGAACTCCATTCTGTATATATGTTGTTGTTGTTAGGTGCTATCAAGTTAGCTCCAACTGATAGTGACCCTATGTACAACAGAATGAAATAGTGCCCAGTCCAGAGCCATCCTCATAATCCTTGCTACGTTGAAGCCTATATGTATATATCCAAAACACAAAACAAAACAAAACAAAAAATTAAACTCACTGCCATCAGGTCTATTCCAACCCATAGTGACCTTTATTATGTTTCCAAGGCTATAAATCTTCAGAAGAGCAGACTGTCTTGTCTTTCTTCTGTGGAATGGTTGGTGGGTTTGAACCACTGACCTTTTGGTTAGCAGCCGAATGCCTTAACTACTGCACCACCAGAGCTCCTTATACATATATACCTGCCTTTATTTCTTCTAGATTGTCAAACTCATGAATTATTTGCAAAGATTCCTCTGATAAACACAAGTTGCAATGTTTAAAATCCTTATAATACTGTGCTTGTCTTGGAAGTTGTTCTTTTAAACTGCCAGTTGTTTCAATGTCTTACCAGGCAAATTGGAGACAATCTGATTGTTCCTGGAGGAGTGAAGACCATTGAGGCCAATGGGAAGATGGTGATTCCAGGAGGCATTGATGTCCACACTCATTTCCAGATGCCATATAAAGGGATGACCACAGTAGATGACTTCTTCCAAGGGACAAAGGCTGCCTTAGCAGGTGGCACCACCATGATCAGTAAGTCCACAGATTTTACAAGTAACTGTTCTTATGAAGCGTGTGATTAATATGTGAACCATAATGCTTTCTGATAATATGTAAATTTACTGCCATTAAGTTGATTCTGACTAACAACAACCCTAGAGTACAGAGTAGAACTGCTCCATAGGGTTTCCAAGGCTGTAAATCTTTATGGAAGCAGACTGTCACATCTTTCTCCAGTGGAGTGGCTGGTGGGTTTGAACAGCTGACCATTGGCTTAACAGCCAAGTCCTTAGCCACTGCACCACCAGGGCTCCTTATGATAACTTGTACACAAAATAACCCACTGGTGTTGAGTTGGTTCTGACTCATAGAGACACCCATTGGATATCCAAGGCTATAAATCTTTATGGAAGCAGATATTCTCATCTTCCTTCCACATAACAGCTGGTGGGTTTGAACCACTGACCTCTTGGTTAGCATCCAAATGCCTTACCTGCTACACCACCAGAGCTCCTTGATAACCTGTACACTTCTCTAATGTCAGCTTTGAAGACTTTCTGTCAGATGGAGCCTGAGAACATAAGGTGGTGATGTTAGTGTAGCCATCAAGTTGGGTCTGACTTACAGCAACCCTTTGTGCAAACAACATAACAAAGCCTTACACACTCCTGCTCCATCCTCATAATCATTGGCATATTTGAGTCCATTGTTACTGCCATTGTATAGTATCTTCCAGTCTAGGATGTTCTTCTAGCACTATTTCAGACAGTACTCCATCGTGATCCATAAGGTTTTCATTTGCTAGCTATTATTTTTATTATTTATTTACTTTTATTGGCTTTTTTTTTTTAAATTTTCATTTAAAAAAATAAATTGTGCAGTGTTCTCTCCCCTCCCCTCCTACCCCTGGTAATCAACAAATAAGTTTCCTTCCATGTATATACCTTTCCTTGACTTTTTACAATAATGAACTAGTACAATATCTGTCCTTCTATGATTGACTTATTTCACTCAGCATAATGTCCTCCAAGTTCATCCACATTAGGCAGTATTTTACAGATTCTACTTTATTCTTTAGTGTTGCATAGTATTCCATTGTGTGTATGTACATCCTTATGCTGATGGCCACCTAGGTTGTTTCCATCTTTTTGCTACTGTAAATAGTGCTGCAATGAACATGAGTGTGCATATATCTGTTCTTGTCCTAGCTCTCACTTCTTTAGGATATATACCTAGTAATGGGATTGCTAGGAGCTCTAAGTGTCTAAGGCATTTGACTCTTAACCAGGAGGCTGGCGGTTCAAACCCACCTTGCCACTCCTTGGAAGGAAGATTGGGCAATCTATTTCCGTAGTGATACCATCTTGGAAACCAAGGAGGGTGCACTGTGAGTAGGATCCTACTTCATAGCAGTGAATTTGGTTTTTATTTGGTAGTGGGATTTCTGGATCAAATTGTATTTCTAATTCCAACATTTTAAGGAATCACCATACTACTTTCCACAGTGATTGTATCATTTTACAACCCCACCAGAAGTGTATGTAAGTCCCAATCTCTCCATTTGTTATTTTCTGTGTTGTTGAACTTTGCTATTACTGCTGGGGCCTGATGGTAACTCATTGTTGATTTGATTTACATCACTCTAATCCCTAATGATTGTGAACATTTCTTCATGTGTTTGTTGGCTGCCTGAATATCCTCTTTGGTGAAGTGTCTATTCATGCATTCTGCCCATTTTTTAATTGAATTGTTTGTCTTTTTGTTGTTGAGGTGTTGGAGTTTTGTATAAATTTTAGACATAAGTCCCTTGTCATATATGTTGTTGCCGAATATTTTTTCCCAATCTATAGGTTCTCTTTTTACTCTTTTGGAGAAGTCTTTTGAAGCACACAAAACTTTAATTTTTAGGTTCCAATTCATCTAACTTATCTTCTGCTGTTTGTGCATTGTGAGTTATGCTTGACAGTCTATTTATACCATAAATGAGGGCCCTAAATTTGCCCCTAATTTTTCCTTAAGGAATTTAATAGTTTTAAGTTTCACATTTAAGTCTTTGATCCATCTGGAATTAGTTTTTGTGTATGGTATAAAGTATAGATCTTGTTTCACTTTTCTCAAATGGATATCTAGTTTTGCCAGCACCATTTTTAAAGAGACCATTTCTTCCCTATTTAATGGATTTTAGCATTTTGTCAAAAATCACCTGACCAGAAGTCGATGGATCTGTTTCTGGGTTCTCGATTCTATTCCACTGGTCTATGTGTGTGTCATTGTACTAATACCAGGCTGTTTTGACTACTGTGGCTGTATAGTAGGTTTTGAGATCTGGGAGCGTGAGACCTCCTCCTTTGTTCTTCTTCTTCAATATTGCTTTGCTTATCTGATGTCTCTTTCCTTTCCATAGAAAATTAGTGATTGCTTTTTCCATATCATTAAAGAATGTTATTGGGATCTGAATTGGGATTGCATTGAATGTATAGATTGCTTTGGGTAGAACTGACATTTTCACAATGTTCAATCTTCTCATCCATGAGCATGATGTATTTGTCCATTTACGTACATCTCTTATGGTTTCTTGAAGTAGTATTTTGTAGTTTTCTTTGAAGAAGTCTTTTGTATCCCTAGTGAGATTTATTCCCAAGTATTTTATTTTTATTTATTTATTTTTTTGGTAGCTATTGTAAACGGAGGAGCTCTGATGGTGCACTGCCTAAGGCATTTGACTGCTAACCAGAAGGCTGG